TATCATACCTGAAGACTTTGCTCAAAACACTTTAGCCTTTCATTCCAGCAAGGCCTCATGGTAGTGGTCCTCACCTTGCTGGTGCCTCGCAGGCTTTCAAAATGACAGATATCAACATCCTACTGTCCTTCAGACACCCAATCTCTGGTGCCAGGATCATCCCTCCAAAGCCTGTGTTTCTTGCAGCTCCACCAAGAGAACCCTAAGAAATAGATTCTCAAAAGGCTCTATGTTTTCTCAGCTCTTCTTCTCTATTTTCTTCCTTCCTCTTTTCTTCTTTTTCAACTGCTTTGGTTTGGATTCCTGGTTGCTGAATGAGTTTTAGACGATGCTTTTATTTTCAACCACAGTTTCTGGAACACTGAGAAGTTTCCAGGACATTTTACCACAATTCACCTCATTTTGGGGGCTCACTTGTCAACAGATTTAAGTACTGTGGGTTATGTGGAGTTTCTGTAAGAAAGGTCATTCCTCCTCTGAGTATACTCCTGCCTGATGTCTTTTTCTCTGCAGGAGGAAAGTCTCTTTCCCCCTTTCTTTTGAAAAATTTAACTCAAATGTCCCAAGCCCTTTGGCCAGATGTTCATAGCTGCATAACCGCATTCTGCTGTGTCAATAGTACTCCCCACAGAACTGTAGCATCTCCTTCCCCTTACAGAGTTCCTGCACTCATGTGACCCCAACATACATGTTCACATGTGTGCACGTATACACACTACTGAGCATTCACAGATTTTAGCATACCTCGTCACTGAGCTGCAGTTCCCAAGCAATAGCCTCGCTGCAATTAATTTAATTTGTAATGCTGGGTACAGTGGCTCACATCTGTATTCCTAGCACTTTGGGAGGTGGAGGCAGATGTATTGCTTGAGCCCAAGAGTTCAAGACCAGCCTGGGCAAAAGGGTGAAACCCTGTCTTTGCAAAAGAAAAAAAAAAAAATTAGGCATGGTGGCTTGTGCCTGTAGTCCCAGCTACTTGGGAGGCTGAGGCAGGAGAATGGCTTGAATCCGGGAGGCGGAGGTAGCAGTGAGCCAAGATTGCACCACTGCACTCCAGCATGGGCAACAGAACAAGACTTCATCTCAAAATAAATAAATAAATAAAACCCTTTCTGCCTTTACGGAGTTTCTGCACTTGAACGGTGCTGTCCAGCAGGACTATGCACAATAATACAAATGTCCTTCACTGTGTCAGACAATAGCCACCAGCCACATTTGCTCCTTGAACACTGGGAATGTGGCTACTATGACTATGGTACTAAATTTGTAATCTTATTTCATTTTAATTAAACTCAAAGGCCACACGTGGCTAGTGGCTGCCACATTGGGCAGCGTGGTTCTGGAGGGAGACACAAACAATAAAGACAAGTAGACAGACACCTGCTCCTCTTTTAACCACAAAACATTGAAGTATGATGTCAGCTATTGAAAAGTGCCTGAAGAAAGCCACTCAGGGTGAGGAAATGAGCGTGCTGGGGAGGCATTGGTTTGCAGAGGGGTGGCTGTCAGCAAAAGCCTCTCTGTGGGAGGGTGACTTTTCAGTGGAGACCTGAAAACCCAGCTGCTCTCGGGTGGGATGTTCTGGAAGAGGTGCTGTGAGGAGTGAGGTCCTGACAGAGCCACTAGAGCGTGAAGAGCAGCAGGAGAGGGAGCAGCGGCTAGAGCTTACCAGGTCTTGGTGGTACCATTGCTGGAGATGAACTCTGAAGGCATGGCAAGTATTTGAGAGGTGAGATCAAGAGTCTGAAGATCGCAGCAGATGGAGGCTGGAGGTGGCAGTTTAGGTGTGGTCAATAAAAAGAAACGGTTGCCCTCTTCTGTGGTTGGCCCCTGTTCTCGCCTCACCGCTGCCTGAGGGGCCCGCATGCCACTGCTGATAAATTTGACCAGCCTACAAGTGCCAGTACTTTCATCTTAGAGGGGCCAGTTTCTGGGTTCACAAGGAGGAGGTGCTGCTCTCCCCAGCCCTGCCCAAATGCATCACCTGAGCCCCTAAGCAGGTGGGCGTGGACCCAGGCTTTCAGAATTGTTTGTGAAAATCACCTTTTTGCCCTCTCTTCAGTGGGATTCAAACCCAGGCCCATGGGAGGAGCCAGAGATGATATGCTATCTCCTGTGTTCCTTTCCCTTTCCTTCCTTTCCTGGAGGTCAGAGATCTTTGCTTCAAAACATGTCTCCTGCCCCTTTAGCCCTTCAGCTCTCCAGCCTGGGTTCTGGGTTCTGTTAACCTAATAAGCAAATTGTTCCTGTGCTTCCAAATCATCATTTGTTTAATGCAGTTCCCATCAAAATTCTAATCTAATTTTATTTGGCAGGTGATATTGACTCATGAGACTAGATTATCAAAATAACCAAGAGCTGTTTTGCAAAAAGAAAGAGTTATGAGGAGGAATTCTACTAGATGTAAAAATGTACTCAGAACATACAAAAATGCTTTTGGAAGCAAGGTGTAAGTGCAGTACTCAATAACTAGATCAATACACAGATTAGATAACCCAAAACCAACCCTAGTAGATATAAAGTTTGTGTATGATAAAGGAGGTTTCTCAAAAATTAGTCATAATAATACATGCTGCTGAGATGGTTGGTAACTCTCAAGAAAAATGGTTAGAATTGTGTCTTACAGTTTAACCCAAGATCAATACCAGATGAGTTAAATAAAAAAATATAGTTAAAACAGTTTTAAGAAAATGTAGATTAATATATTTCAGCCATCAAGACTTTCTAAATCTACAATTACAATAAAACAAGCTACAAGAGAAACAGGTAAATTTATGAACTAAAAATTAAAATTTCAATATATTAAACATTAACAATATATATAATATGCACACCTAAAAGGCAAATGATAGGGCCAGGCGCGGTGGCTCATATCTGTAATCCCAGTACTTTGGGAGGCCAAGGCAGGCAGATCACCTGAGATCGTGAGTTGGAGACCAGCCTGACCAACATGGAAAAACCCCGTCTCTGCTAAAAATACAAAATTAGCCAGGCATAGTGACACATGCCTGTAATCCCAGCTACTTGGGAGACTGAGGCGGAGAATTGCTTGAACCTGGGAGGCAGAGATTACGGTGAGCTGAGATTGCGCCATTGCACTCCAGTCTGGGCAAAAAGAGCGAAACTCCGTCTCAAAAAAAAAAAAAAAGGTAAATTATAAACTGGGAAAAGTTTTGCAATAAACATAGTAAAGGATTAGTGTTATTTATGTAAGGAGAATTCTTGCAAATTCGTAATAAAAACCACTGAACACCAAGCTAAAAAAATGACATAAGCAGACAATTCACAAAAGAATATAAATAGTGAACAAATCTTTGAAAACAGTTCAACCTTATTGTCAATCAAGAAAAGCATAAAGGCATATTAAAACAGTTTTCTTGGCCAGGCAAGGCTCACGCCTATAATCCCAGTACTTTGGGAGACAGAGGCAGAAGCAGGTGGATAACTTGAGCCCAGGTGTTGGAGACCAGCCTGGACAACATGGCAAAACCCCGTCTCTACTAAAAATTAAAATAAAATGATTAGCTGGGCATGGTGTTGTGTGCCTGCAGTTCCAGCTACTTGGGAGGCTGAGGCAGGAGGATTGTTGGAGGTGGAGGAGATGGAGTTGGCTATGAGCTAGAATTGTGCCCCTGCACTCCAGCCTGGGCAACAGAGCCAGACTCTGTCTCAGAAACAAACAAAAATCCAAAAAACTGCCTTTCCCTATCTAATCAGCAAGGCTTTTTAACATTAGCATTTTACATAGACTGGATTGTGAGTCAAGCCCTCTCCTCCACTACCAAGGAAAGGCCAACTGAGGCCAAAACTCTGCCATATGGGTCAAGAGAACCACTTCTAGGCATCCATCCAAAGGTAGTTATCAGAAATAAGGATTAAGGATATTCACTGCAGTTTTGTTGATAAGAGCCAAGAACTGGAAATAAATGTCCAACAAAAGTCCAATGGCTATAAAAAAAGGATGAGTTCATGTCCTTTGCAGGGACGTGGATGAAGCTGGAAGCCATCATTCTCAGCAAACTCACACAGGAACAGAAAACCAAACACTGCATGTTCTCACTCATAAGTGGGAGTTGAACAGTGAGAACACGTGGACACAGGGAGGGGAGCAACACACACTGGGGCCTGTTGGGGGATGGGGGGCAAGGGGAGGGAGAGTGTTAAGACAAATACCTAATGCATACAGGGCTTAAAACCTAGATGACAGGTTGATGGGTGCCGCAAACAACCATGGCACGTGTATACCTGTGTAACAAACCTGCACGTTCTGCACATGTATCCCAGAACCTAAAGTAGAAAAATTTTTTTAAAGTCCAGTGTCTGAACACATCATGTGTGGTATACTCCTACAACATAATAACATGCATTGTAAGGATATACCACACATGATGATTTCGTCATGTGATGAAATAATGATTTTTAAAATCATTATTTTGCTCACTATTTATGGCAACAGGGAACTGTTCAAGTGAATTGAACTATAAAACTACAATATTGGCGGGGGGGTGGCGATTGCTTTTTTAATGCTTTTCTGCATTTTCTGGATTTTCTGTTGTGATTTTGCTTTTATGATACATAAAATGTTCATATCTGTTTCCTAGCGCCTGAATAAATTTCACTTGCCAGCCCCGGGGAATCATCTTGCTTCTGAGGTACCATATATAAAAACGGCTTACAAGGCCACCATCTGCGACATTCCCTCTCACCACTTCAGAAGATTTTAGTACCTGTCTACCTTTCCTGTATTCCTTTGTCTCTAAACATGAAATGGTGACCCTCACCCATGTTTACTTGGGTTGGCCGTGTGTTCACCTCCTTCCCAAACAAAGGAAGAGAAGAAGAATGTGACCTTTCATGTTTGTAAATACTTTCACACCATCTGGGCATACATAGGTGTTGGGTGCCCGTTGGGATGGGTCATGGGAGCCACTCATAAGGAAGTGCCAGTTCCTTTTGCATTGTAAAGAGACACTGAACCTTGTCTTTGTTCTTGTCCACAGATACGATGTTTCCTGATATGTTTAGTGTTTGGTGCCATTGCAATTTTCTGTGCTGAAATCATTCTGAAAACTCAAACAGTAGACTTCAGCATACGAGGAAAGCCAAAGCCATTTGAGGGGGAATAAAGCCAAAAGCCTTTCATCTTATTCGTTCCAAGAATCTCACTGCCCCCTCTCCACTCCCTTCCAAAAATAAGCCATTGCACCCAGACAGGCAGCATGGCTAGCAAACGGAAATCTACAACTCCATGCATGGTTCGGACATCACAAGTGGTAGAACAAGATGTGCCCGAGGAGGTAGACAGGGCCAAAGAAAAAGGAATCAGCACACCACAGCCTGACGTGGCCAAGGACAGTTGGGCAGCAGAACTTGAAAACTCTTCCAAAGAAAATGAAGTGATAGAGGTGAAATCTACAGGGGAAAGCCAGTCCAAAAAACTCCAAGGTGGTTACGAGTGCAAATACTGCCCCTACTCCACACAAAACCTGAACGAGTTCACAGAGCATGTCGACATGCAGCATCCTAACGTGATTCTCAACCCCCTCTACGTGTGTGCAGAATGTAACTTCACAACCAAAAAGTACGACTCCCTGTCTGACCACAACTCCAAGTTCCATCCTGGGGAGGCCAACTTCAAGCTGAAGTTAATTAAACGCAATAATCAGACTGTCTTGGAACAGTCCATTGAAGCCACCAACCATGTCGTGTCCATCACCACCAGCGGCCCTGGAACTGGTGACGGTGATCCTGGGATCTCGGTGAGTAAAACCCCCATCATGAAGCCCGGGAAACCGAAAGCAGATGCCAAGAAGGCGCCCAAGAAGCCCGAGGAGATGACCCCCGAGAACCATGTGGAAGGGACCGCCCGCCTGGTGACAGACACAGCTGAGATCCTCTCAAGACTCGGAAGCGTGGAGCTCCTCCAAGACACATTAGGACACGTCATGCCTTCTGTACAGCTGCCACCAAATATCAACCTTGTGCCCAAGGTCCCCGTCCCACTAAATACTACCAAATACAACTCTGCTCTGGATACAAATGCCACGATGATCAACTCCTTCAACAAGTTTCCTTACCCCACCCAGGCGGAGTTGTCCTGGCTGACAGCTGCCTCCAAACACCCAGAGGAGCACATCAGAATCTGGTTTGCCACCCAGCGCTTAAAGCACGGCATCAGCTGGTCCCCAGAAGAGGTGGAGGAGGCCCGGAAGAAGATGTTCAATGGCACCATCCAGTCAGTACCTCCGACCATCACTGTGCTGCCCGCCCAGTTGGCCCCCACAAAGGTAACGCAGCCCATCCTCCAGACGGCTCTACCTTGCCAGATACTCGGCCAGACTAGCCTGGTGCTGACTCAGGTGACCAGTGGGTCAACAACCGTCTCTTGCTCCCCCATCACGCTTGCCGTGGCAGGAGTCACCAACCACGGCCAGAAGAGACCCTTGGTGACTCCCCAAGCTGCCCCGGAGCCCAAGCGTCCACACATCGCTCAGGTGCCAGAGCCCCCACCCAAGGTGGCCAACCCCCCGCTCACCCCAGCCAGTGACCGCAAGAAGACAAAGGAGCAGATAGCACATCTCAAGGCCAGCTTTCTCCAGAGCCAGTTCCCTGATGATGCTGAGGTTTACCGGCTCATCGAGGTGACTGGCCTTGCCAGGAGCGAGATCAAGAAGTGGTTCAGTGACCACCGATATCGGTGTCAAAGGGGCATCGTCCACATCACCAGCGAATCCCTTGCCAAAGACCAGCTGGCCATCGCAGCCTCCCGACACGGTCGCACATACCATCCGTACCCAGACTTTGCCCCCCAGAAGTTCAAAGAGAAAACACAGGGTCAGGTTAAAATCTTGGAAGACAGCTTTTTGAAAAGTTCTTTTCCTACCCAAGCAGAACTGGATCGGCTAAGGGTGGAGACCAAGCTGAGCAGGAGAGAGATCGACTCCTGGTTCTCTGAGAGGCGGAAGCTTCGAGACAGCATGGAACAAGCTGTCTTGGATTCCATGGGGTCTGGCAAAAAAGCTCAAGATGTGGGTGCCCCCAACGGTGCCCTGCCTCGACTTGACCAGCTCTCCGGTGCCCAGTTAACCAGTTCTCTGCCCAGCCCTTCGCCAGCAATTACAAAAAATCAAGAACAGGTTCATCTTCTGAGGAGCACATTTGCAAGAACCCAGTGGCCTACTCCCCAGGAGTACGACCAGTTAGCAGCCAAGACAGGCCTGGTCCGAACTGAGATTGTGCGTTGGTTCAAGGAGAACAGATGCTTGCTGAAAATGGGAACTGTGAAGTGGATGGAGCAGTACCAGCACCAGCCCGTGGCTGATGATCACGGCTATGATACCGCAGCAAGGAAAGCAACAAAACCCATCGCCGAGAGCCCAAAGAATGGGAGTGATGTGGCTCCGCAATATTACAAGGACCCCAAAAAGCTCTGTGAAGAGGACTTGGAGAAGTTGGTGCCCAGGGTAAAAGTAGGCAGTGAGCCAGCAAAAGACGGTTTGGCAGCGAAGCCCTCAGAGGCCACCTCAGACCGGTCAGAGGGCAGCAGCCGGGACGGCCAGGGCAGCGACGAGAACGAGGAGTCGAGCGTTGTGGATTACGTGGAGGTGACAGTCGGGGAGGAGGATGCCAACTCAGATAGATCAGATAGCTGGAGTCAGGCTGCAGCAGAAGGCATGGCGGAACTGGCCGAATCCGACTCCGACTGCGTCCCTGCAGAGGCCAGCCAGGCCTAGACAGGTAATTCCACCTGCTCACCCAAGGCAGCAGGGGAGAATGCAGCTTGCTTTCTTTTCATTGCCAGAATTAATAGGGGCTGTAGGGTACAGAGACATTGACACAGATGATGGCTTTTTTTCCTGGTAATTAACAAATAAGAATGGTGTATATTGATCACGTACAGCATGATGTTTTGAAATGTGTTCGCCTAGTGGGATGGCTCAGTCAAGCTGACTCACCTATGCATTACCTCACATACTTGTTCTTGTAGTGGAAGGGTTTGGTTTTGTGCTTTGTTTTGTTTTGTTTTGTTTTTAGTGACAGATCTTGCTCTGCCACCCAGGCTGCAATGCAGTGGCTCGATCGTGGGTCACTGCAGGCTCAAGTGATCCTCTCACCTCAGCTTCTCAAGTAGCTGGGACTTCAGGCACCTGCCACCACACCCAACTAATGTTTTAATTTTTTGGTAAAGACGGGGTCTTACTCTGTTGCCCAGGCTGGTCTCAAACTCCTGGACTCAAGTAATCCCTTTGCCTCTGCCTCCCAAAGTGCTGGGATCGCAGGCATGAGCCACTGAGCCCAGCTGATGAGTTATTCATAAAGGTTCTTTGAAAAAAAAAAGAAAAATGGGGGCTGATGGAACCTATGTCCTCATTTGTAAGGCTGTGCCCAGGAGTGACCACCGCTGGCTGTGACCTTTTTGGGCACCAGCCTTCAGGCCTGGCCATTCTGAAGCTTAGATGTGACTGTTAGAAAACACATCCTCCTCTGTGTGTTTTACATTTGTTGCTGTAAAAAAACAAACCAACATGAAGAGGTTGTTTCTTCTTCTCTTATTTTTCCTTTTCTTATTGGATTTTTTAAGAATATGTGTCCACGTTTACTGAATCAAAGACTTGAGGTTATTTATTTTCATCTGAAAAGGCTTTGAAAGGGCTTGATATTTGCCTTGGCAGGGCTAAAGGACGGTGCCACCGTGCTTGGATCCCCATAACCCCTTCAAATCTGGAAGAGCCGGGTGTAAATTAGGCCTGTAGAGCCACACAAGCTGGGGGGAAGGGCGGTTTCCATGGTTACTAATGGCCATGTCATCCCCATAATGGGACGCACCACTGAAGCCGTTGGTGTTCGGCTGCCTAAGAGGTCAGTGCAAATTGAGGCCTGAAGCACAGCAGCTCGGTGGCAAGTTGAGAAACGGGGGCAGTGGCAGCGGGGTGGCAGCGGGAGGGCTGTGGGAGGGAAAGGAAATATTACAAGGAGGAAGATGCACAGTTTACCCAGGTAGGCTTCTCCAGAGGTCACTGAAAAGGCCACGGAATGTGCCTCCCAAGTTATCTTTACAAAGGAGAAAATAAAGGTAAGAACCTCCAGGATGATTGACAGGGTCCCAAAGGCAGCCTGAAAATGACCACAGCTCCCTCTTAATGAACTTGGACAACTTTGGCCGAACACGTTGCTCATTAATTCATTGATTCAGTAATAAAATGAGGCAGCTGGCAAATAAATGAAATTCTCTAGAAACCATGTTTTAGCCAGTTCCATCCACTATTAAAGGAGCACTTTAACGAGCAGCCAATCCCAGAATGCCGTCTTTCTCCTTTTCCTCCCATTTGCAGGAGGAAATGCCCAGGTGTTGGGGTGTCTGCACAGCCCAAAGGGGAGGGCGCCAGTGGAAGGAGGGGGATAGAAGTGCACTGAGGTCACCAGTGGCAGCAACCTCCCACCTCTATCTGGCTACCTCTGGCCATTTAGCCACCGTCTTAGAAGACTCTATCTGCCTAGCCCACACCTCCCTCATTAAGTTAAAGGAGTAACTTTTTTTCTTTTTTCTTTTTTTTGTCCACATGAAGGCTCGTTGCTTGCCCCATCTTTTTTTTTTTTTTTCAGATGGAGTCTCACTCTGTCACCCAGGCTGGAGTCCAATGGCACAATCTTGGCTCATTGCAACCTCCACCTCCCAGGTTCAAGCGAATCTCCTGCCTCAGCCTCCTGAGTAGCTGGGATTACAAGCATGCACCACCCCGCCTGGCTAATTTTTGTATTTTCAGTAGAGACAGGATTTTGCCATGTTGGCCAGGTTGGTCTCAAACTCCTGACCTTAGGTGATCCACCCACCTTGGCCTCCCAAAGTGCTGGGATTAGGTGTGAGCCAGTACGTCCAGCCTCCCATCCTCTCTCCTTGACCTTTTCCCATCTGTGACACATGTCTACATGATTGCTTTTTCTTCCCACCCCAGAGAAGATAATAGGGTTCAGTTCTATTCAACAGTACCCTCTGAGCACCTACTGTGTGCCAGGTCTACTCTAGGTGCTAGAAACAGTGCCATGAGAGAGACAGACAATACAGTCCCCATTCACACAGAGTTCAGGCAGGCTAAGGAGAGAGGAAATTGCACTTTCCTTTACTCATCAGTGTGATATGTGTTACGATGGGGAAGGGCACGGCTCCATGGGGGGGCTCATAGGAAGAACACCCCGGTGGGGGGTTAGGGAGCTTCTTGGAGGAAAGGACATCCAACTCATGGGATGAGAAGGAGTTAGCCAAGGGCACAGATAAGGAAAAGAGTGGTCCAAGTGGAAGAAGCGTCACAGGCCGAGGTCCAGAGACAAGAAAAGGAATGGCACCATTGAGAAACCAAAAGAGGCTTGGCATAGCCAGAAGGTAGAGTTTGGGTTCGGTGAAGGATAAGAGGAGGCAAACTGAAAGCAAACTCAGTGATTTTCCGTAACAAGCAAAGCTATTCTGAACAAGTGTTTGCTAAATTTGAATATAAAGATGTTCATTGTCTCTGTATCCCAAGGGAAGCTCAGATGGCACTTCCAGGGCCCCATAGCTGAGTGAGAGGTTGTCTAGGGATGGCAGTTCTCCAGAGGCCCCTGAGGCCCCCTGTCCCCATCCCTTCTCTTCCAAGCTGTACCACCACCACCAGTTAAAAATGCCCATGTGGGTGGTTCTGTTACCGTGCCTGATACCCCAGTGGCCCAGAGAAGACAGTAATGAGGGAGGGAATGTTAAAACCACAAAGAAAACCACCCCTGACACCTGGGCATTTCCTCCTGCAAGTGGGAGGAAAAAGGAGAAAGATGGCATTCTGGGATTGGCTACTCATTAAAGTGCTCCTTTAATCACGGATGGAACTGGCTAAAACAAAGTTTCTAGAGAATGTCATTGATTTGCCAGCTGCCTCATTTTATTACCTCATTTTATTACCCTCCTCCTTTGGGGAGGAGCAATGGAATGATGAACAAAGGCCGCCTGAATAGCAGAGGTCGGGTAGGTGCTCTGACCATGGTCTTACTTAATTCTCCTAGGGAGGTAGCTTCTCTATATTTCTATGAACCCAGAAACAGACTCAGAAACCAAAGCATTTACCCACGTTTCCCCCAGCCAACACATCAGTTTGTCTCCAGAGTCCTCACTCTTCCTTCTGCCATCTCTACCTTGTTATTTATGACAGAAATGTTCCATTTCTAGTTTACACCCCCTTCCCAGGACAGGGAATAGCTGTGTCCACAAAAAAAAGGAACATGCAGGAACCCCACTTTATGTTTAATTACAGTAAATTCCCTCACTGTGAGCTAGAAAAAAACCCTAAACAGGCTGCTAAGATCTGTTCCACACTCAGCAACATCAGATATCCCTGCTGGCTCCCTGATATTTAGGAGATCCATCGTTTTGTTTTGTTTTATTTTGTTTTGTTTTGAGATTGAGTCTTCCTCTACAGCCCAGGCTGGAGTGCAGTGGTACCATCTCGGCTCACTGCCACCTCTGCCTCCGGGTTCAAGAGATTCTCCTGCCTCGGCCTTTCAAGTAGCTGGGACTACAGGCACATGCCATCATGCCCAGGTAGTTTTTGTATTTTTTTTTTTTAGCAGACATGGGGTTTCACCATGTTGGCCACGCTAGTCTCAAACTCCTGACCTTAGGTGATCCACCCGCCTCAGCCTCCCGAAGTGCTGGGATGACAGGCGTGAGCCACCGTGCCTAGCCATTGGAGGTCTATTGTATTGAGAAAAGGACCACTGTCCGCACTAGGGATGGCATTGGAAGTTCTCCCACGTCCTGGACTCCTTAAAGGAATCTTTCAATTTAAAGGGGGAAAAAAAATCTCTCCAAATTATTTCACAGTTTTTATGAACCAAACACATGAGACTCTTGAAATTCATAAATATTCAGTGATGTCCCTATTTAAATACATATTTAGGAACCTGCAGTTCGGTTCAGTTATGACACATATAATAATCCTGAAATAATTCGCAGTTTTGACTTTATAAAAGGTGTTATGTGATGCGCAAGAGGGTGAGGAGGGAGGAACTTGAGCAAGCAACTGAGAGCTGGCTCTAGGACTAGATTTCCTCTGTAGGTGGTAACCATCTCTCCTGCAACCAAATCCCTCTACTTTATGCTCTGCAAGGCTTAGGAAAGCATTTCACTCAGTCCAGGCTCATGTCAGCCCTGAGGTTAGACACAAAGATAAGGAATACTTCCCAGCCTTTGAATTGTGTTGTCTTGATTCAGTCCTTGTGTCTGAATAATTTTTGAGTCATTCCATCGAGGGACCTGTCCTAGGAAGAGGCTGAAAACTAGATTTATTTTTTATGAAAAATGAGTCAACGTACTTGAGCAAGACATGGTCAGACATCAGTCTTGATGTTCGGCAAATGGAATGTCCTGTTACTTTTGCTAGTGAGAGTTCCCATTGATTGACACCCACTGTGTGCTCAGACACCTTCTAAACACGTCTACTAAGTCATTTCTACTTCATGACCACCCTAGGGGGTGGGTACAGCTTTTTCTCCATTTTATAGAGGGCAAAACTGTGGCCCAAAGAAAATGAGTGACTTGCCCTGTGTTTCTCAGCCAATAGCTGGAAGACCCTGGAGGCCACCTCTCAACTGTCAGGCCAGTGCCTGGCCCCAGCCACTATAGTCCTTCCCTCTCCAACAGAATCACCACCACCATAGCCCAGACCAAACAGACAGTGTGGTCATTTCTTGATTTTGTGTGGGAGTGGAAACTA